ACCCCCGCCTTCACCCAGTGACTGCTGGGATTTGGCTCCAGGCTCCGCCCACAACCCTGAGAGAAACTGAACAGCGTCTTCAACCTTCACCTGATGGATTTGGATGATGGTGTCGCCGTGAGTTCATACGAGTTTTGAGTTCAATTTTACCTCCGTATTTATCCTCCTTTAAACTGCAATACACCGTGCAGTACTCACAGTATTTCTTTCATTATAAATAATTTAAAAAAATAATAAAAATATTGTAACAACCTAAAAGTAAAACAAAAAAGTCAAAAAGTACGTTAAACAAATAAATATTTAAGGCAAATAAACGTAAACAAAGTAAGAGTTCTCTCTCTCTTTCCCCCTCTCTCTGCCCCTCTCTCTCTCTCTGCCCCCCCCACCTCACCTTGACCGAGAGCCACAGCAGCCAATGAAAACACAGCACAGAATGACTTCATAATTAAAGAACAAACAATCGTAACTCAACGTCAGGGTCAGATTTTTATGAACAAAAACACGAGTTCTGCCGTGTTTTTATTTCTCCTTGAGAGCAGTATGCAGTAATACTGCGTAGTCCTTACTACTACTACTACTACACTCTATGGCACTGTGGGAGTGAGAGTAGTTTCTAGAACGTTGGTTCCCTGAAAGAGAACAACTTATTAGGGATGTCCAATATCAACTTTTTGCCGATACTGATACGGCGATATTGTCCAAAAACTTAATTTCCGATTCCGAGAGTATGAGATTAATTAAATGAGCTGCAATGCTGCCACCTAGTGACTTTCACTTTATTATACAGCCGTTTATCCCTAAAAATATATTTGGCAAAACATTTGGCGAAACCCAGGCATTACGTTATCGGGTTTTCATTACTGGTGGAAAAATCAATAACGCTTCTTACAGATATTACATAATATGCTAATATCGAGCCGATAATATCGATGATTGATGATCATCGGACCAACTCCAAATAACTGAGCGGCAGGTTTACTTTTTACCGACACAGTGATGAAGACTCAATGTTTATATTTAGTTTATAGTTGATTTTATCAAAAGTTCATTTTGACGTTACTTCCAAACCATAATTGATTCAAAACAACACCTGGAAGATTGGTGGGTTTTCAGTTGGAAAAAAAAAATTTAAGACTGAAAAACTGTCAAATGACAAAAAAAAGAGACGAGGTGAAACAGATTGTCAGATGAAAGAACAAGAATGAAGACGGATGTTCAGACGGACGAGTGGAAACATCCAACAAAACTCTCCAGGACAGACTGAGCGCCAAAGTGGCGAAGACAGAATGACAGTCGTGGTTCACAGAGTGGTGACAGTTTACACCTGCTGCGATACACGGTGTCAGACGGTGGCGCTGTGTCACAGACTGAAGGAGGATCACGGTGTCCCGGAGACAGACACGGTGGACGAAGACGAAGACCGCGGAGAAGGTTCCATGGACCAGGAAGAACCGTCATGTTTGACGAAGCATCAGAGGCAAAATGAGCGATGCTAACGCTACATCCTGGGTTCGAGATTTTTTTGGAATTAGCATCGAAGGTTGCTGCTTGTTCTGCCCCTCAGACGTTGTTCATGGTGTAATAAAAATGACGTATGTGTTGAACGACTAAAACAAAAACAAAAAAAGAAGAAGAAGAAAAATATCTCGGCATGAAAAGAAAAACTGTTGTGTTCACCGTTCAGGGAGCAGTAACTAAGAGTCGCAGCCACGACAGGCTCCCAGCGTCGGGAACGATGATAAATCCTCGTCTCAGATTCATCGCTTTTTTCGCCTCCTTGAAACTGATTTGCAATAGTGCCTGAATGATTGTGCTCTGAGGAGAGCAGCTCCGTCAAAACCACGTCTCGCTGTTAAAAGACAGAGAGCGAAGAAATACATAAATAAAATCAAGTCTTTCCTGCTGTCAACACAACAGATCGGGGTTTGTTTAAGAGGAAAGCCTCTTGTCAGAGGAAATCTCCGTGACTGAGTTCAGTCCCAGCTCGGCGCCGTGTGTGAAGAGAAACAGTGATTACATTATCATTCAGCGCGGCCTCGTCAACGACGTGAATGACACGTTGTTCGCACTTTCTCTCCGACTCCTGGGACTAACCTATCAGGTTTTTCGAAGGTGGAGTGATTTCATCGTAGAAAAAGGCCGACATCGGATTCACAGGCGTCGCTGACGGAACAACGGGCTGGTACTGTTCAAACCGATGTTGAAGGACCTTCTAAACACTACACACCCTCCAGTGTCCACATGTGGAATTACATGAGTTAACGTTAGCTCGGCGGTATTTGAATACCAGTGCGGTGAAAACTTCAGTACTACTTTAACTACTTTATTATCATTTAAAACGTATCACATAAAGTATTTGATCATTAGAACATTTGCTAAAGAGACGTTCCCTCGATCTGTGGTTCCCAAAGTTGGGGCCGGGACCCGTTTGGTGGGCGTGGGTATCAATAGTCCTATCAACAAAAGGGGGGAAGCTGTAGAAAAAGTTTGGGAACCACTGGTTCTAGAGGAAATATATCCCTAAAAAACTAGATCCAGTAGATGGCGCTAATGCCAATAAGGCCAAAGAATGGAGCCAGGCTGAGCTTAGCTTGCAGGGTTAGCTTGACCTAGCCGAGTCTCAGTAGCTATCTTTTAAAGTCTTTTTGTGGGGAAAGTGAAGAAGGTCTGGTAATTTAATCAAATGTCTGAAGGCGTTTTCTCCAAATGTGTAAATTTAAACTTTTCTATGAATTTATTTTTGTTTTTTTTTATCTGTGAGGTTCACAAAAACTCTCAAAAAGAAAAGAAAATATACATACTGATTATATATGTATGAGTATGTGTGTATATATACTGTATTAAATATATATATACAGTATATATGAGCAGATTTAACTGCAAACTTTAAAGTTTGAAAAAATTAAATGTCAGTAAAATTGGCTAAAATTCATCCACATTTAAATCAGTTTATAAAACTTTACAGATGCAGAAAAGCAGCAGCAGCAGTGTTAGCATCATCATCATCATCAGCAGCAGCAGCAGCGTTAGCAGCAGCAGTGTTAGCAGCAGTGTTAGCAGCATCATCAGCGGCAGCAGCAGCTTTAGCAGCAGCAGCGTTAGCAGCATCAGCAGCAGCCAAATGCTTTTCAGTTGACAGTGTCAGTTCAGGCTAAAGCCGTGGGGCGCGTGGGTTTTTCAGGACACACTGATTCCCAGTCCATGCTGTTGGGAAAATCGAGCGGGAACTCCAGTCAGGAACGACACGGCGGCCGACTGTGAAGCTCGTCTTGGCAGCACTTCTCTTTAAAGTGACTGTACAAAGCCGCTCAGCGGGTACCTGAGTACTTTGAAGTCTTGTTGTACTTTTTGATTGGGAACTCTGCCATTTTTGCATCACAGAAACTTCTTCGTGTTCTATAAAATACTCCATTTGACGTATTTTATAAAATTCTTGAATCTTGAA